TAGGTCTCAGAAGAAATTGGCATCCTACCTAGTTATTTCTGCCAAAAGTGCTATAGCTCAAGCTTGGAGAACCACTTCGGTTGTCTTCCAGGGGGTGAAGACCCAGATGAATGCTATGCTGATCATTGAACAGTTGTCTAGCATTCTTCAAGATGTTCATCCGAAATTCCTTAAGGTTTGAGAACCTTGGATCTGTTATTCCCTGCCATTCCTGCCTCCTACTAGTTATGGCTTCTTATAGTCTTTGCTTGTGCTAGCCCTGGATCTGTGATTCTTCTAGTTTTCTTTTCTTACATGTTTTCTCTCTGAATCTTTCTTTTTTTTTTTCTATGTTTCTATATTTTCTTTTTCCTTCTTTCTAGCAGATTTTTTTTTTCTCTTTTCCCGGTAATATGATGGATTTGCTGCTATTATTTGGTTCGGCTTTTTGCCGTCCCTCCTTGATGTCATTGGACATTCCGTTATTTGGCTAATACAAGTCAGCAGGATGTATCTGTTTATGTATGTTATTGTTCTGCTCTGCCCCTGCGTGGGCATATCTTGAGCTTGTTGTATTATTAAAACAAAACTTTCTTAACAAAAATATTGAAATAGAAAAGGTATATTTAGCAGACTAAATAGGAACAAGATATAGTATGTAGTGCAGGAGAGGTCACTCAATGTGTTTCGCTTTGCCCACTGGAGCTTAATTGTGATTAAGCTCTGGTGGGCAGAGCGAAATGTGTTGGGGCGTGGCCTAGCTGGAGCTCAGGCTGAGACTGACACATACTTATCCATTAGCTGATCTGCAACAATGTGCAGCTTAACCACTTGCCTACCAGGCACTTTTACCCCTTTCCTTTTTTTTTCACACAAATAGAGCTTTCTTTTGGTGGTATTTAATTGCCACTGGGGTTTTTATTTTTTGCACTGTAAATGCAAAAAAAGAGCAAAAATAAAAAAAGGTTTTCTTGTTTCTATTATAAAATTTTGTAAACAGGTAATTTTTCTCCTTCACTGATGTGCGTTGATGAGGCTGCACTGATAGGCAGCACTGATGTGCAATGATGAGGTGGCACTGATAGGTAGCAATAATGAGGTGGCTCTGATGATGTGGCACTGGTGGGCATTAATGAGGAGGCACTGATGATGCACTGATAGGTGGCACTAATGGGCACTGGTAGGTGGCACTGATGGACAGCACTTATGGGCACTGACTGGCAGCACTGACTGATAGCTCTGAATGGAGGCATTGACAGATGGCACTGACCGGCAGCACTGCTTGGCACTGATACGGGGTACTGCTGGGTACTGACAGGCACCATTGCTGGGTACTGATGGGCAGCACTGCTGGGCACTGACAAGTGGCACTGCTGGGCAGCACTGATGGGCGACACTGCTGAGCAGCACTGAAGGGTAACACCGCTGTGACCGCATGAGGAATGTGCAGCCAATAACCTGCAACTGTATATACATTGTGATCTGCTGTGTCATTGGACACAGCTGATCATGTGGTAAAAGGCCACTGTGATTGGCCATTTACCTGATCACATGATCAGCTGTGTCCATAGGCTATGCACCGCTGGGTGGCACACGGGGGGCATGTTCTGGGAGGACATCCATGGACACCCTCCCAGAACTGGAGAGGAACCTTTCCTTCACTACATGCTGATGTTTGGAGTCAAAATAAGCTCCATTCCCGGCCGGCACTCCCAGCAGTTGGCAATCAATTGGGATCATCTAGGAGCCTGAGTGGAACCCACATTTGCACATACTGTAGGTTCACAGGAATAAACTAGAGTTATTTATTAGGGACTACATAAACTTTAATAAAGCCTATGCATCCCTCCCATATAGATCTCTATAAACACATTCATGATGTTCACAACATGGAATATTAGACAGCTCATATCCATAATAAGATTCCAATGCTTAAGAAGATATGGAGACCCATGGCAACTGCGTCATACTAATTAATATTTTGGCTCTGGTGTTTGGTATGATCCAGATCATCTCTGGGTGTCCCATGGGGTGAATATTCCCTTCTTATGGTTCCTGCAAACTAAATAGCTGTACCATCTGACTCCGTAATGTGTTGGATATTTATGTCATGATGACTAGGTCAGCATATTCCTTTTTTTCAGAACTATAAAGATATATGGTTGATACCTGTATTAAGCTCAACTTTCTTATTAGAATGTTGCTGGTCTTTTTGATGGAAGTTTCTTGGACAGCAGTCATGTGCTTTTTATAATCTATGTGGTACATATGCTACTTTATTTTCATTTTCCTGATGCTTCATCCTACTGTATTTTGTCACTGTATATGTAATTTCTTGGATTAATGAAAAGAAGGTTATAAAAAAAATAAAGCCTATGCAAGGAGATATATGGGGGATGCCTTTATTAGCTTATCAATAAAAATACTAGTTGTTTGGCAGTCATGCTAATCTTCTCACTTTAAAGTAGAACTATAGGCAAAACTTTCTTTTTCATTTTGGATAGAGCAAGGGAGAATTATAACCACTGTCAGATTTTTTTTCGACATCTGTTTCCCATTGTGGAGATTTCCTTCACTTCCTGTGCCATATTCAAACAAGTGAGAGGAACTACCTACAAATTAAGAGAATTCCTTGGGGACCCTTAGGTCACCAGAACTAATGTCCCCATTGGAAGATTTACCCTCTGTTACTTTCTTGTGGACAACCCAAGATTTGGGATTTTGTTTACTTTCATTTTCAATGATAATGGTAAACAGGACAAAAACAGAGAGTGAATCTTCTTAACAGAGGCACATACTGCAATAACAACTGACAGGTGTTCTAATCCTTCTCCACTCTATCCAAAACTAAAAAAAAAGTTTTGCCTTTAGTTATACTTTAATAGTAGAAAAAAAAACTTACCCAGAACTAGCATGCACCCAGTGAAGTAAAATTGCAAAACTTATGATCTGCATGCTTATTTCAGGTGAGCGCCTTGAACAGTATTGTTAGGTTATAGGATCAGAATGAGACCCAGATGACTAACATATTTAAATGAGAAAGCAGACATGGTAGCTTCTATAGTTCTATAAGTACAGATTTACTTTACTTTGGTGTGGGTGCGCATAATAAAATGCTATAGCTATAATACCAGGACAAGACAGTACATTTTTGAAAAAAAAGTCTTTACAAAAAAGGAGAAATACGATACTAGTATTATTATGTGTGCTTAACCACTTCCCGACCGGCCGTTGCATATAAACGGCCGGACGGTGGCAGTACAGGGTCGGGTGGCCGTTTATGAACGGCCTCCCCGCACCCTGGTTGTGCGCGCTCCCTGGGAGCACCGCGTTTCGGTGCCCGCTGTGTCCTCCGGACACAGTGAAATACCGATCGTCGGACGGGACCTCTGTACGAGGTCCCGATCATGTGATCACTGATTGGCCAATCAGTGATCACATGCAAAGTAGTAAGCAAGATGTCACTTGTGACATCATTGCTTACTACGTGTGAAATCTGTGAATGATCACAGAGGTCACATGATACAAGGCTATTCACAACAGCCTTGTACCATGTGACAAGCTGTGACCAATCATTTCTCAATGAGTGCAGGAATGCACACAGAGAGAAAGAGAAATGATTGCTTTTACATCCTATATGGGTGTAAAAGCAATCATTGTAAAAAAAAAAAAAATCTTCATCACCCTCCACAAGTAGTACAGTGTCACCATGGTGACACTGTACTGCTAGGGTGACAGTATGTAAAAAAATAAATAAATAAATAAATAATATAAAAAATAATACAAAAAAAATAAAATAAAAATGTACAAAAAAATGTTTAAAAATTATAATTTTTGGTTATAAACTAATTTGTTTTTGTTTTTTTTTTTACTAAAAAGATAACAAAATACATTTTGGCAAAGATTTATGATGAAATATTATTTATTTGCAAAATTTTATAAAAAAACACTTTTGTTCAAAATTTTTGGACTTTTTCATTTACATAACAAAAAAAAATAAAAATCCCAGCAGTGAATAAATACCACCAAAATAAAGCTTTATCTGTCACAAAAAAATGGTAAAAAATTAATTTGGGTACAGTGTTGCATGACTGCGCAATTGTCATTCAAAGTGTGATAGCGCTGTGAAAGCTGAAAATTGCCCTGGTCAGGAAGGGGGTAAAAGTGTCCGGTCTGGAAGTGGTTAAAAAAGAATGACCTTCTCACAAAGGGAATGTGCTCTTACTTTTCTTTTTGTATCAGACTTGCTTTTCAGACAGCTTTTTTTGCTGAAAAAAGTAATGAGTTTATTAGCTTTGTGAAAAGTCAGTTTTGTTGTATTTTTGTTATTATATGATTAAGTAATTGTATTTTCATCAAGAACGTTTTTAAGTTTTATTTAGTTTTCTTTTTAACTAATCTTAAAGTGTTTGCCCTGCCAATTGAACGAAAAAATTAAACATGTCATTTTGCTGTCTGCGTGTATTGTAGGCTCCTTATGAAGTGAAGGGTGTTAGTTTGTGTCATGCAGTGTAAGACAATCTTTTAACCTGACAAGAAACACACGCAGTTGCCTCGCACCTACAGTTTACCCATTCCCTTGTATCTTGTTTTTATCTCTCATACTCTTTCTTCTATTGTTTCTTGTTCTTGCTGAAATTTGCTGTATAACTGGAGTTGCCATGGAACATTTTATTATTAGTATTACCTACCCTTGTTCTATCTATTACTTATTACAGCACCACAAGAGATGATGTCACTATATAAATCAATAAAAATAATATAAATCTTTACAAATTATATGTGCCCTTTAGAAGAGAATTTAGAAGAAAACCTAGGGGAATATCAGAAACAGCATTCACATTATAGCAGCTATATTTAGAAACATCACCTCTCTACATAGTATATTACCAGCAAAAGAGATTTTTTGTTATCTTCCAATAATTTTAGCTTTCACTGAATGAATACAATTTTTGTTAGTATATTTATATGGCATAGATATGTTACAAATGTATATATTTTGCGGAAGACAGTCCCAGTGGGTCAAGGGCATGTTTTTGTGATGGGGTGTATGCAGGGGCGGACTGACCATTTAGAAACTCGGGCCCTGCCTGAGGGCCCGGGGGCAGTAGGGGGCCCCATGAGATGCCCCCGGTACCTTTTTCGTAGGCTTTTTTGAGTTTGGGCAAGGACACAGGGGCCCCATGATCCCCTATTGCCCAGGGGCCTCATGAGTTGTCAGTCTGCCCCTGGGTGTATGTGCCAAGCAGGGTCCTATGTGTTATTACGTAGACAGGGGGTTAATAGTGGGACACCCCCTGGTAAACCTGCTAAGTAGCAGTGTAATAGCGAGAAGCTAGGGAATAGTGTTTCCATTCTGGGAGCTGTAGAAAGGTGAGACTGTGCTTGAATGTGGACCAGAACCCTGTCCAGCAAACTAGAAGGCAGGCAGTGTGCATTCAGGGACATGCATCCATACCCACACAGTTGTGAAAATGCGACCGGTAGCTGTGACTGTGCTGTCTCTGCATCCACATAGACATGATTGGGACTCCCTGCAGGAGTATGCATAGAGCATCTGTGTCTCCTGTGTGGGCAAAGATGGCCTTTGGATGGTATACTGATAGATACATCAATGTAAACGAGGCCTAATCATTCTGTTGCTTTTTTTTTATGTTTCTAATAATCCCTGAAAGGGTGAACTTTGTAACTACTTCTGTTCTATGGAAACATGAAAGTGAATCAGAAGATCCCTTAAAGGCATAGTTCACCTGTACAAAACAACTGCCTATGCAGGCAAAGGGTGGCTGTAGATAAAAAGAAACTGTATAGCTTTGACCAAGTTGAAAAATCCCCTGATGTAGGAGAAGACCATTTACTTTACTCCTGAAGCCTGACTGGAAAACTCTCAGAGATTGCATGATCCTATCCTGCCTTTTTGCTAGATTGTTGCTAAGAGACTCCCAGCTGTTACTGTTCATCTCCACCATCACAGGAGCAAGCTCTTCCTTTGATTCATACCCCCAACATATGCTTCCTCTCTGAATGCACCATTTGAAAGTTTGTTCCTGTGAAGGTGAGGGTGAAGAATAACAGCTGGGAGTCTCTTAGCAATTGTGCATGTGATTACTCATTATCTGAACAAATAGAGCTGCAAGCATGAAGTGAAAAAAATAACTAGAATGTGTATAAAAAATAATAAATGAATGATGTGCTATCACCAATAGTTTATCTGTGAGTAATAACCATGGTCTTTGAATTAATGTTGTATGTGTTTTGAGCAATCATCCAATAATTCTGATTATTTGATGGTTGCTGAAAACTCATACAACAGTCTCTTAGCAATGTTTTGGCAACAAGGCAGGGTGGGATGATGCAACAGCTGGGTGTTTTTTTAGTCAGGTCTCAGGAAGTATGTAAATGGCCTACACCCAGGGGCGGACTGACCATTTGGAAACTCGGGCACTGCCCGAGGGCCCGGGGTCAGTAGGGGGCCCCATGAGATGCCCCTGGTACCTTTTTTCATAGGCTTTTTTGAGTTTGGGCAAGGACACAGGGGCCCCATGATCCCCTATTGCCCGGGGGCCCCATGAGTTGTCAGTCCGCCCCTGCTACACCTATAGCAAGGGCATTATGCAACTTTGGCTAAGGTTGCACAGGTTGTTTTGTTCTGCAGACACCCCTTACCTGCAAAGGCAGTTTTTGGTAAAAGTGAATTCGGCCTTTAAACACACCTTGATGTCTGATCTGCCTCCGGACTGCCTCTCATTTTCAATAAGTTCAGCATTGACAATGACACATGAGTATGGTAATACCCTCCAAGTGACACAGTGCCACCAGTATAGTGTCTTCATTGCCTGCAACACAGTTGTGGATTAGAATGGACTTGCTGGTGAAATTCACAGATGGATGTATACATGTCATACCTTTTGATATTTATGGGACTATAGTTTGTTTTTTACAAGGGCCTTGAGTCAATAAAACAATATATAGCTTCAAAACATTGTGAGCATTTGTACAGCAGCTCACTAGACACTATAATAGTGTCCACATACGCCATACAACTATTGCATAGTTACATAGTTGGTAAGGTTGAATAAAGAGACCAGTCCATCCAGGTCAACCTGAGTGGTATGTGTGTGTGTTTGTCAATACCCTACTGCATATCTCTGTATATTGTGTTAGTTAAGATGCCAATTTCATAGGTTTTTTTAAATTATTGACACTCCCTGCTGACACCACTAATTGTGGAATCCCCATCCTCAGCACTCTGACAGTAAAGAACCCCATATGCACTTTAAGGTTAATAGCTTCTATTCCAACTTCACTGAGTGGTTATGTGTCCTCTTAAGCAAGCTTAGACTGGATAGTTTTCATTCTGTGCTAGAATCACTATTTAGATATTTATATCGCTTTCATGTCTCCTCTAAAGTGTCTCTTCTCTAGGGAGAATGTTTAATGCTTGTTGCATACTTGTAGGTACTTCAGTCCCCTTATTAGCTTTGTTGCCCTTCTCTGGATTCTTTACAGTTCCAGCACATCCTTCCTGAGGACTGGTGACCAGAACCAGGTGGCATAATCAAGATGTGACCAACCAGAGTTTTGTAAAGTGCTAGAATTATAGTGTTATCGCTGGAGTAGATACCCATTTCAGTGCATGCTAATACTCAACTGATTTTGCTTGCTGCAGCTTGGCATTGAATGCTATTAAAAGTTGATTACAAACAAGCCTCTGGTCTGTTTTTGAGTTACATCAAGTCCCTTTTACTGCATAGTGTAATTACAGCATATGTACTCTTTGGATAATGGCTAACTTTACTGCAGTATATGTCACCCAAAGCTTCCGGTATACATACTGTATATATATTTCAGATATCAATAAGTGATTGTGCTCATTTTGGAGGATTCTCAAAATCCAATTCACCACTCAGGAAAGACCATATGATCCTGCAATTATGAGGGTTTATATCATGGAATTTAAAATTTTTGTATATTACACATTTGATGTTAGATCTTTAATTTCCAAATGAAGTTTATGCATCACCAATATTGTCATTGTAGGTGAGAGTTTTTTGTTTTGTCTTAGATTGTGGATTTTCATGTGATAAAAAAAATATTCAGCCATGTTGCAGTAGTTTTGAGAGATGAATCTCTTCCTTTGCAGATATGAATATTTAAAGCTTCCATCATATATAACTATATACAGTATTAATGCATCAGTTACGGTCCCTTAGTAGTGTTGTATTTAAATAAGTGGCTTTGAAAAACAAATGTTTATATGACATACTGTAGATCTTCCTTTTATTTTCTTTTGGACATGGGCCATGGTAGCTTCAAATTGTAGTTCTACATTTTGCTGCATCAGGTTTAACATTATATTACACTGCTGTAAAATGGCTTTTTAAATGTTAGAGCTGAGCTCATGGAACATATAAAATAACGCCAATAAATAGATTTATGTGTTCATTAAAAAATACTGTTCAGTTTATTTTTAAATGATAACATCAACATTTTAAGGCATCCCTCTAAACATATAGCAAGATAGCCAGAAAGGGTTTTAGTGTTCTTCAACATCATTAACCTTATAAAAATCAAATGGAACAAACTACTAATTCTACATAAAAAAATAAAGCTAATGGAGACATATCTATTTCACCCAGGATCCCCATATCATTGTGAACTATGAATGCATAATGTCCTTCATTGATGGATCCAAAACATGATTTTTTTTCTTTAAAGCAAGCTATCACCCCTTAAAAATCTGGTGGTGTGATTGGTGGTTATGAATTTCAACATATAGGGCTTGATTTACTAAAGGCAAATAGGTGGTTCACTTTGCAAGGAACTATTCGAGCTTCGGGGATTTGGTGACATTCACTTTGCAAAGAGCATCCAATCATGTGCAAGTAAAATTTAAAAAAAAAGCAGTTTTGCTTGCACAAGAGTAAATGACAGAAGCCATCAGAGCGAGCTTCACCCCATTCACTAATCTCTGAGGAAACTTCCCTTGAAAAGTGTAACATTAAACATATTTACTACAGAAAGTTACTTTTGCTGCATTTACATTAGTAATGTTGTATTACCTAATCTCCCACTTTTTACTTTGGTGGGGTTTTTTTTACAGTATAACATATACCGTAACAAGCGATCTGGGCTCTTCAGCAGGTGAAAAACAATGGTAGCCAAATGCCTAGGGGCCTAACAACAAGAACAGTACCTGTAAACCAAGCAAAGACTCTGGTTAAAGACCTTTCTGGAACAGGGCCAAGCAATTTTGCTAGATCATGGTACAACCCCGGCAAGTCACCACATTTATATCACACAGTACTCTTCTTTAGCCTATGAAACAAATTCTGGCAGAAAATGCGTAGCATTCTGAAGCCAGCCTTGTAAAACATCAAAACTATTAAATAAAAGGAAAGCTGTTAGGAAACAAAGTCCTATACTTAAAATGATCTAAATTCTCTTGCCTGGTTTTAAATTCTAGCAAAAGAAAAAAAAAAATTAAATCCAGCTTTTATTTGTTGGTCTTTTTTTTGTTGATAATTAAGCATGTAAATATGAAATTTAAAACTGAATAGTCACTAAAATCAATTATGTAGTATATTCCAAGTCTGTCGATATAAATATTCACAGTTTATTAAACTTGAAGGATATATGACTTCAACTCACGTTTTCTATTTCTACAGAAACTCAATAATCTGTCACAACATGTCATTCTGGTAATATTACTTCTTAATTATAGTCTTATTTTCAACATGAGTGTTAACCAAGAGTCGTTCTACGATATACTGCTACAGAGAAAAGAAGGTGACATGGTTACTATATTAAGGATGGCATACTTTGTTATTTTGCATATTCATGTGAATATAGAAATTTATTCTACGCAATTAAAATAAAATATATACTGTACAGTATAATTTTGCAGTTGCTTTAAAATTGGGGCAATATGATTACCTTTCAATGCAAAAGGTGTTCTGTGTTTCTACTAATCCTGTGTCATATGCAGGCTGTATGATAATTTCAAGAATATTTGAAGATATTTTATGGTACAAAAGCATTTAAAAGAAAACAGGATGGTACTTTTGCTTTCAGTAAAATAAAAATCCCTATAGCAACCCTCAAGCACATACTGATTAACTGACTATAAGGACTCCCCAAAGCCACCTGAGAAAAGCAAATCAGTCAACTTTGTTTTGGTGAAAATAAAGCATGACACTAACTTTGGAAACTCATTAAAGAAAAAGGAATTGAAAAACCTTCTTCTGACAGCTGAACCCACATCCCCCCACCCCTTAGCCATCCCCCCATACTTATCTGGGTCCAATAGCGATCCAGCGATGTGCATGAGGACATAGGCTCTGTCTGCTCTCTCCTTTCTCATTAGTTTAGGAACAGCAATGGGAGCCATTGGCTTCTGCTGCTGTCAATCACAGCCAGTGAGGAGGGAGTGGGGGGTGGAGCTGAGCTGTGCTCTGTGTGTCTTATGGACAAACATAGCTTGCTCAGGAGGAAGTATGCATGAGTGTCCTAATAGCAAATGGCTTGCTATGTGCAATCAGGAATGGGGAGGGGCCAGGAGCACCAGCAGGGGACCCCAGAAGAAAAGGACTGGGCTGCTCTGTGCAAAACTATTGATAAAGCACGTAGGTATGACATGTTTGTTATTTTTTAAAACGTGTGCCTTTAGAATCATTTTATGTGATCTAAACCTTTCTGATCCTGATGTCATTGTTAATAAGAGCTTAAATTACTTGACTTTAGAATAAATCTGTGGCCAGGATATGGACATTCATATTTTTACATATTCAAAGCAAACTGTCAATTACTGACCCATGGAATAATTTATCTTTAATGTTCACTGATAAAGCATTAAATTGGTTCAGGTTTGTTCACCCTGATCCCACCTCTCAAAGAAAATTATAAGCAATATAAACCTTCCTATCTGCAACTTGTGTTTTTGACCTACATGCAACAGATGCATTGATCATGTAGTTACATGGAGTCATTTGTTGCCCTGTATGCATAGTCTATAGTAGAGTAAATCATAACATTCCTTTGTCAGCAGTTTCTGTTTGTGTAGAAACATGAGGCATGTTGCATGACACTGCACAGGTTAGCCCTCTCAAACAGCACACTAGCTGCAGAAAAAGCTAGAAGCTCCACAACATATTGTGTAAGTTCTTCCCAGTGTTCCAGTCTGAACAGCCAATAGTCCATAATGTCCTCACTTCTAAGAGTATAAATATTATGCCAGCACTTGATAGAGTCTGCAATCATGTGGTGGCCTGTGAGTGCTGCCTGCAGCCAGTCCTGGCTTCTTTACTTTAAAAAAAGTGCTGAGGTGGCCACCGCTATTACTGCCCCCCTCCTTTATGGGATCAAAGAATTGGAGGCACATTGGTCATGGGGCCCCCGGGCAATAGGGGCAGGGGCGGTCCTTGCCCAAACCCGAGTTTCCAAATGGTCAATCTGCCCCCCAAATGGTCAATCTGCCCCTGGTCATGAGAGAGGATCTTGCCACCA